ACTCACCAACACCAGCAGCAACGATCAGCACAGCGCAGTCAGCCTGAAAATGAACACCAGGATGCAGATTAGATCCAAGTCCACTGCAAGGCGAAGTTTGCAGGAGTCAAATCCTCATGTTGGAGCTTATTGTTTTTACCTGGGAGGTACCAGTGATCATGTTCTTGATGAAGTCTCTGTGTCCAGGGGCATCAATAATGGTCACGTAGTACTTGCTGGTCTCGAACTTCCACAGAGCGATATCGATGGTGATACCACGCTCACGCTCGGCCTTCAGTTTGTCCAGCACCCAGGCGTACTTGAAGGAGCCCTTTCCCATCTGAACCACAAAAAGCAAAGTAGAGGGAAGAATCAGTCAGAAAGGTTTAACAGAAGAGATTTTATTTAATCGGTTTTATTCATAGATCTGAGAAAACTGAAGTCCAGCTTTATCAGAACTGAATTTAGAGAATTTTACTTTCCTATTTTAATTTATTGTTAATCTTATAGAAATACAAGCATCCTTCACCACAGTGTTCATGACCTTGAACCTTTGAAAAAATACAAATACTAAACTCCAGTTAATCCCTTAATCTGAAAAGGTAAAATCACCTTTTAACTGGCTCATAATGAGCTTTTTAAGGGGTGATTATGCAACTATGCTAGACAGACAATCTGAGTTAGCTTGTTTAACAGAAGTACATCCCGAAAAGGTTGATTCTGTTAATCTGGTTGCAGCGTTTTCAGAGGTATATGCTGCAGTAAAATTACTGTGTTAAGGTTAAACAGTCAACCAGAATAGTTTCTGTATGTTTTTGTATGGTTTGTGAATTGATTAAAACAGGTTTTCTTATGAAAATGCTGCATTTTTCTGCCTTGTGTTTGTCTTTGTTAAATTCTTGTGTTCAAGGTCTGCTAAGCATTCTTTGGCATCCTTCAATGTCTGTGCCTTACTGAGCCCTAGGTTTCAGTGCTAATATCCTGTATTCATCCTAGTCCTATCGTAGAATACAGAATGTATCCAAAAACATTGGTTATTGGAACATTTCATGTTATAATATACAAGTAAAAAATTATAACAGATATAATTTTCATGATATATATCATGTATAATGATATTGTATGGTCTTTACATTAGATTATAAACCACCTTAAGGGGAAAGCAGTGATTTGTCGCTATATTAAAAAATGAATTGAATGTTTAATAAATTTCACTTTCAATGTTTAATTAATTCAATTTCCCCTAAAATGTTGCGCAATCTTAAATATATAATTATATACAAGCAAGATTTTAACTCTTATTTTGCACGACATAAATTAACCTAACATTTAAATCTTTATGCGTATTTTGCGCTTGAGGGCAGTGTGTATTTTTTAACAGTAGATGGCGGTTTTACCCAAATAATATCATTGAACAGTTATTCCACCACACCCCACCGTCTACTGTTATGGCATTTTACCTCAGAGTCTCACTGTTATATCCCATACAGTGTTTATGCGGTAAAAAGCTTAAGATTAGGCCGCAGTCACCCACCTCAGCGGCTTCCTTCTCAAACTTCTCGATGGTTCTCTTGTCGATTCCTCCGCACTTGTAGATCAGGTGACCGGTGGTGGTGGACTTGCCGGAGTCGACATGTCCGATGACCACGATGTTAATATGGGTCTTTTCCTTTCCCATTTCGATTTACTGTTTTTAAACAACATGAAGAGCAGTCATTTCCACTTTTCAAATACATAATGTGCCATATATAATAGTAGTTGTCCCCAAAATGGTGTGAGCCCAGTGAACGCCATTGTGGCTCATTGCCTTCACCGAACGTTAAGGATCCCTGTTTTTCTGCAGTTATTAAATTAATGGGGGATTCGTGTTTAATAAAATGAAATAATTCAGGCTCCAATTTATCTCACAGGCCTTGTTCTTGGTCATTCCCCAGGAGTTTTATGAAGCCAATTAAATTGAAAATTAACTTGTCAAAATGTAGTAATAAACTGTTTCTTTCCACTTTGCTGTAACTGCGGCATTAGAGGTTAAGTAATGTTAGCTAGGCGGTCCTTGCGCAACAAAAAATACGCAAAGTCGTATGAATTGTAAATGGCTGCAGTATGCTAATATACGTTTTGAACATAAGAGACTATTGGGGAGGGGGTGCTTTTTCTTCCTCTTTTTTTTAAATAAAGGACACCATCTATAAACATTGAGGACATCGAGGTGGGACGCTGATGAGTCACACGCCATGTGCGTGCTGGATGAAAACCGGCTCCTCTCCTCCATGTTGCACCCGTCGGGAGCGCGGAGCCGCCATGTTGTCAACTGATGCAAGCGCGCACCCGAACATACAGCATTGAGAGTCAATGCGCGCGTTCACGCAGGTAGAAAGAACAGGGCTACCATGACTGGCAGAAACAACCTGGCAACTCGTTTTTGACATCTGTCCCCAGCGCCTGCCTAAAAATCCTGATGTGGACCCTTACAAGTGAGCCAGACAGGCTAAAACGAGCCAGGAGAAGCAAATAAGGTGAGCTGGCACGTTTTAAACCTTTCAATGAGAATTCTTAATGCTACGTTTCACTGAATGGATTACTAAGGTTTCTGGCTCTAGCCATCAGTTGATGATTTAAAGGATTTAAGCCCTCTACTACCCCAGCTTTTGTGGAAATGCATCAATGCTAAAAATTTAGCTCCAATAGCTGCATTTTAAATTAAATTCACCAACCTGTGTCCAGCAACTACCAAGACGTCCAGAGATTTCGAGCAGAGGCAAAAAAAGGACAGAGCGTGATCTCTCCGGTGTTTATATACCGAACTAGAGGAGAGGGAGGGATGTGCATTGCTCTTGCTGTGTGTCAGACTAAAATAAGGGGTGCTATTGGCTGGGGTGGCATATCTCCTATGGAGGCGATTGGATGACAAGTGCATCACTGGACACAAATAGCATGGATAAAAAACAGCTGCAGCACATGACAGAGGCTCGCCTGTCATACCAGCTGCAACTGAAGGATACAGACAAGCCAATTTCAATTTTTTCGGAGACAATATTTTATTAGTTACCAGCAGCTTCTTTCCAATCAAATGTGGCATTTTAACATTGAGATACAGTTCTAAATCATTTCCAACTTAAACTCAACTGAGAAGAGGCACTGTCATGTGATTCAGGTAAGTGACAATGCCATAGAGTTCTTTTTCCTGCGAAAACTCTTGCGATGGGTTTTAATCAGCATAAGCCAGTCCTTGAGTATAGAGCTGTGCCTCAGCGAGGATGATCCAGGGTGGGAGGAAGATGTAAGGGAAGATGTTGCCCGCTGCTGCCAGCACACGTCTTGTTGATGGATTCCCTGAACGGCCATTCATTTCTTGCCCTTCTGAGCCTTCTCTGCAGCCTTGGTTGTCTTTCCAGACACTTCCTTGGGGATAACAGACTTGATGACACCGACAGCCACTGTCTGCCTCATGTCACGCACGGCGAAACGACCTGAAATAGGAGCAGGGGAAAGGTGGGGTTAGCTGCTGTACATTATGCCTAGTCAAATCAAGTAGGGCTTCTGGGAAGCAAACTTACCGAGGGGAGGGTAGTTGGAGAAGGACTCCACAACCATGGGCTTCTGTGGGATCAGTTTGACAATGGCGGCATCTCCGGATTTGACGAACTTGGGGCTGTCCTCAAGCTTCTTGCCAGAACGACGGTCGATCTTCTCAACCAGCTCGCTGAACTTGCAAGCAATGTGGGCAGTGTGGCAATCTAGCACAGGGGCATAGCCTGCAGCGATCTGACCGGGGTGGTTCAGGATGATGACCTGTGGACACGCTAAAAGTTAGCAAATTCCATAACCCAACCCTAAGACGCTCAGCACCATTGTCACCACACCAACCTGAGCGTTGAAGCTCTCAGCACCCTTAGGTGGGTCGTTCTTGCTGTCGCCAGCAACGTATCCACGACGGATTTCCTTGACGGAGACGTTCTTGACGTTGAAGCCAACGTTGTCACCGGGCACGGCCTCGGGCAGAGACTCGTGGTGCATCTCCACAGACTTCACCTCAGTGGTCAGGTTGACTGGGGCGAAGGTGACGACGGTGCCGGGCTTGATGATACCAGTTTCAACACGGCCGACGGGTACAGTTCCAATACCTGAGAAATTAAAACATTGTTAAAGCACCAAAAAACATGGGTGTAGTGCAATACTAGCCTTTTAGTACTATGACAGTTCTCACCGCCAATCTTGTAGACGTCCTGCAGGGGCAGACGGAGGGGCTTGTCAGTGGGGCGGGAAGGTGGCAGGATGGCATCCAGAGCCTCCAGCAGGGTGGTTCCAGAGGCATTGCCGTCCTTGCGCTCGATCTTCCATCCCTTGAACCAGCTCATCTACAGACAAAAGTCATTGATGGTTTAGTCCATGTTCATTCAGATTAGCAAATTGAGATGTGTGGAATGGCTAGCAGTCCTCACCTTGTCACTGGTCTCCAGCATGTTGTCTCCGTGCCATCCAGAGATGGGGACGAAGGCAACGGCGGCGGGGTTGTAGCCGATCTTCTTGATGTAGGCGCTCACTTCCTTGGTGATTTCCTCGAAACGAGCCTGGCTGTAGGGGGGCTCGGTGGAGTCCATCTTGTTGACTCCAACGATGAGCTGCTTTACACCCAGAGTGAAGGCCAGCAGAGCGTGCTCACGGGTCTGGCCGTTCTTGGAGATACCAGCCTCGAACTCACCAACACCAGCAGCAACGATCAGCACAGCGCAGTCAGCCTGAAAAGCAACACCAGGATGCAGATTAGATCCAAGTCCGCTGCAAGGCGAAGTTTGCAGGAGTCAAATCCTCATGTTGGAGCTTATTGTTTTTACCTGGGAGGTACCAGTGATCATGTTCTTGATGAAGTCTCTGTGTCCAGGGGCATCAATAATGGTCACGTAGTACTTGCTGGTCTCGAACTTCCACAGAGCGATATCGATGGTGATACCACGCTCACGCTCGGCCTTCAGTTTGTCCAGCACCCAGGCGTACTTGAAGGAGCCCTTTCCCATCTGAACGGGAAGAAATTAATGAAATTTAAGGTCACAATCCAAATATCTACATGGAAAATTTCAATGTGGATCCTAAGATATAAATTTTAAGTGCATTCAGTATTCAAATTACCAGGAGCCCCCCTCCTCAAAAAGGGACCTTAAATCACCTATGATAGGTACAAACATAAAACCCACAATTTTCCAAAAGCATTAAAAGTATTTCTAAGACTTAGTGTATGCAAGTCATATTCAAACAGGTTGTACTTTGTTTTGTGCATAAATTTTAAGGATTTCTGTTCACTGGAGGCCTCAGACTGTCAGACAAAGTGCACATTCACCACCAGTGCTCTGCGCGCGATAAGCCCCACCCCGCATGCGCGCACACGGCTGTTACACCCTCGTGCCGGGCAGTTGAGCTCAGAGGAAGGCATGCCGACGCCGCCATCTTGGACTTTTTAACAGAAACTGTTTTCAAGACAAAATGGATAAAATGTAAATAAATACACAAGCTCTTACCTCAGCGGCTTCCTTCTCAAACTTCTCGATGGTTCTCTTGTCGATTCCTCCGCACTTGTAGATCAAGTGACCGGTGGAGGTGGACTTGCCGGAGTCGACATGGCCAATGACCACGATGTTAATGTGGGTCTTTTCCTTTCCCATTGTTTTAGTTTCTGTGGGCAAGATTAAATTAAAATAAAAATTGCGTTAGGCTTACTATTAAGTACCCGTTAGGCTTCGTTAACAGACATGCATGTACAACTAAGCTATCGCATCTTGAGCCCGGTTACATTAGGAAACCATCCCGGCATGTAGGCATAATGAAAGGCGGTGGAAAAACAACAAAGCCTACTGAAACGTATTGTCTTTTTAATTTATACGGAGTTAAAAACTGAAATTCAACTCCATGGCTACTCGGGCGCTAGGCTTTAGCCGCTAGCAGGCGGCTGCTACTGCTAGGCCTCACTCGGCCACAAGCCAGCCGAGACACGTGTTACTCCACTGGGCCACGTCGGATAAAGTTACAAAGATCGCCAAATATTCAGAAGCTCTCTCGTCCGGACTTCAAGCACCTGTTGCCGGATAAATACGGGCAGTTGTTTCAGTGAGGAGAGAGAAGAAATGCCATTCAAGCATCTTCGGATCTCCGGTCTTGCAGCCCTCCTTTGTTCCCGTTGCCCACTCTACATTTTCTCCTCCCTCGTAAAAAAATCTTTCGTCAAAAGTTTAAAAACAGCATCCAGTAAACCCACTAACGCACAAACCTCACAAAAAACTATCATGTTAAATACAATCAGGCGAGAACGACCTTTACCATTTTTTAGGATTAATTCCCTCGAAAATTAAATCCACAGGTTAGTGTCAAGTTACGTAACCGAAAAAGCAAAGTTTGGGATTAAACGAAAGAAGCACAAAGAAGATGCTAACGCCTAAACAAATCACGTTTAACTACAACCGTTAAAGGCCCGAGGCCGGGTCCCTCTCTATGTGAAGAATGGGAGCTAAACTCACCGGTGTTTCTGGGTTTTCACGGCCAAAGCTGCTGCCCCTAAGCCAGGTAACAGAAAGAGGAAGAGTGGGGCCGGACTGGGAGGTTTTATACTCAATGGGAGGCGGCCTCATTTCCCGTCACCCTCCCCGGCGCAAAACCCCGCAAATCACACACATTCCTGCAAAAAACGTCAGCACGCCGCCGAATGAAGCCCTGCAACATGCATCATGTCTCATCAGTGATATGAATAAAATCAAAAAACATAATAATAATAATTAATTAATAAAATTAAAAAAAATCTCCAGGGGAGAAACGAGGGTGACTTAAAAGATACAGAAAAACACATCTTTAAAGTTAGATTTCACACAAATTCCTCCACTTTTATTATGAAAAGGTGCACACTTTTACATTTTCCAGACATCAGAACACAAAATGCTAGGATGCTGAGGGAAAATAATAATAATCTACTTTAATGCTATTTAAGTGAAATATGTGTAGTATTGTTGTACATTAAAGAGTACTTTTATTATATTTTAGTTTTTTTTTTCTTAGGTATAAATGATGTAATTTGGCAGCACCCATAGAGCTTTTAGAAAGAAAACATTAGCAGCACTCAAGTCAAGGAAAAAATTAACTAGTAGAATGTACTTTACTAAAGCTACGTATACACGTTTATTAGTATATTAGGTGGCCAAGAAATGACTGGAAGATGCATAAACCTCTGTTAAGGGAAAAAAGACTCGTGTCCATAACAGTCAAGCTTCCAGTCTCCCAAAAGGTCTGTTTATGCCAGGAAAAACCCTGATTCTTATTTATAATAATTCAGGCTTATAATTAGCACTGCAGTCAAACCCTTCAGAAAATAATGGGAAAAGGGGATTGCATCTGTGTTTTATTTTTAAAAAATGTTTTAAATATTCATGATAATTCACTGATTTTATGTTTTTCAGGGACATCCGAGCAGAAACGTCACACACAGGTAACAGAATTTTGATTATTTTAATCACAATTTATGTTTTAGAAGTTTCAAACCTCAATCCAAAGTCCCTGAGGACACTCCCCACTTCCAACTACTGTTAACACTGGGTCGTCTCATCAGTCTGATAAGATTATTTAAATCCAATGAGATTCAAAGAGCACCCAGGGTGGGGGGAAAGATGAAACCCCACTGTTTTCAAGACACCCTATCAGCCACACATCTACATTCCTGGCAGCTGGGTGTGAACATGTTTGATTGAATTAAAAGTGGGGGCTTGTTTACAACTGCAAACCAAAGCATGGTGGGAAATCCAAAAATATATATCTAAATCTTAAGAATATTTACAGCTAATGTGGCCACATTTTCTCTGTGCACCTCCCTGGTAAATCTGTACATTGTGAATAATTAAAACAAATAAAATAAAGGTGGAATAAGGCTGAGAACTCGGTCAGAGGATGCTGCTTGGAGGTCAGGAGGTCAGATTCTGCCTCTTCCTCGTCACTCTGGCATGTTGCCCAACACAGAGGCAGCTGGCTTCCCCTGGTACTCTCTCACATACATACACACTAAATACTGGCTCGGCTTTCTCTTTGCAGTTCAGGTAGCAGGCACTTCGACTTGGCAGCTGCTGCCTTCACTCAGCACCAAGCACAGCGATGGCGAGGGGGGTGGGGGACAGAGTGAAAAGCTTGAGAGGTGGGTAGGGAGATAAGAAGAGAGCACGGAGGAGATAAGAGCAGAAAGAGCGCGGTGTGGAGCAGCAGGACATTTACAGTTGTTAAAGAGCTCATCTTGGCAGACACCTTTTAAAGTGTAGGTCTTTTTATACGCAAATCACCAGTAAATGCACTGCTTATGCATGCATGTGAATTGCTCTTAATGTTTGACTATAAACCAGTTCTGCTGTGTTTTACATCTTTAAATATAACCCGTCAGACGAGCTACAGATGAGGAGCCACGCCAATAACACAATGAAAGATTTAAATGTATTCACAGGGTGGATAACTGCCATTCTCCAGGAAGGGTGTAAAAATGTGAGCCTCAACAAGCTCGCAGGTAACTGGTAACCAAACACACCACATGTGGATGTGATTCTGTGAACCCCTTTCATCATAAATCTGTGTTTTCCCTGCACATAAAAGG